AACCTCTGCCTCCCGGGTTCAAGTGATTCTTGTGCCTCAGCTTCCTGAGTAGCTGGGATTATGCACCACCACACCAGCTAATTTTTGTATTTTTAGTAGAGACAGGGTTTCACCATGTTGGTCAGGCTGGTCTCAAACTCCTGACTTTGTGATCTGCCTGCCCCAGCCTCCCAAAGTGGGGGATTACAGGCGTGAGCGACTGTGCTGGCCTGAGACAGGACTTTTTAATATTCTGGTCAGTTTCTCTGTGTGGCTCATCTCTTTGCTTGCCATTGGTTCATTTGTTTATTCATATGATTCATTTACTTTGATTTGTTCGCCAATGTGGTGGAAAACAGCTCTGGCCTTCATTCTCTAAAATGTAGAGCAAAGGTGGTCTCAGAAATGAGACTGGCAGAGAGATTCTTTAAAGCTGAGCCACCTTTAAAAGCTTTTTTTTTTTTACGCTGAGTGTGATGACTCACCCCTGTAATTCCAATGCTTTGGGAGGATGACTTGATGTCCAGAGTTTGAGACCAGCCTAGGCAGTGTAGCAAGACCCCATCTCTACTAAAAATTAAACAACTAGCTGGGAATGGCATGACGGTGAGGTGGGAGGATCGCTTGAACCCAGTAGTTCAAGGCTGTGCTGCAGTGAGTGATGATCAAGCCACTGCACTCCAGCCTGGGTGATGGAGCAAGACCTTGTCTCTTGAAATTTTTTTTAATGAAGCAAAGCTATTCTTTTTTCTCCTTTAAGATACAAGAAGCTTGGAAGCGGAGTCTTGTAAGTTTCAGCCTCTTTCTAATTTTTAGTGTCCTAAAATAACAAAACCAGACATCCAGCTAAACTTTGCATCTCTTCTTGAAGTCAACAGTGCATCCCGACAGCAGCAACCTGATCCCCAATCTTTTTCGACCTGCAGGTGAGTTGGCTCTAATTTTCAGAAGTGGGTTGGGAAGATGTCGTTTGTAACACTTAGAAAACTCTGCCTGCTGGATCACCTGAGGTCAGGAGTTCAAGACAGCCTGGCCAACATGGTGAAACACCGTCTCTGGTAAAAATACAAAAAATTGCTTGGGCATTGTAGTGGGTGCCTATAATCCCAGCTACTCAGGAGGCTGAGGCAGGAGAATCTCTTGGACCCAGGGCAGAGGTTGCAGTGAGCCAAGATCACACCATTGCACTTCAGCCTGGGCAACAAGAGTGAAATTCCATCTCAAAAAAAAAAAAAAAAAGAAACTCTGCCTGCCTTGCTTTAGCATTCCCCCAGTAGGATTTCTTTTTCTTTTCTTTTTTTTTTGAGACAAAGTATTGCTCTGTCACCCCAGGCTGGAGTGCAGTGGCGTGATCTCAGCTCACTACAACCTCCGCCTCCCAGGTTCAAGCAAATCTGCTGCAACCTCCTGAGTAGCTAGGATTACAGGTGCCTGCCACCACTCCCAGCTAATTTTTTTTTTGGTATTTTTGGTTGAGACCAGGTTTCATTATGTTTGCTAGGCTGATCTCGAACTCCTGACCTCGTGATCTGCCCACCTTGGCCTCCCAAAGTCCTGGGATTACAGGCGTGATCCACTGTGCCTTGCCCTGTTATAGTAATTTTATGTACATACTTTTATTATTATTATTTTTATTAGAGATGGGATCTCACTCTGTTACCCAGGCTAGAGTGCAGCAGCACCATAATAGCTCAAAGCAGCCTCCAACTCCCAGGCGCCGCTGATCCTCCTGCCTCAGCCTCCTGAGTAGCTGGGACTACAGGGTCATGCCGCCACACCTGGCTCTAAATTTTTTTGTGGAGATGGGGGTCTCACTACCTCTATAAAATAGAGGCTGGTCTCGAATTCCTGGCCTCAACCCATCCTCCAGCCTCAGCCTACCAAAATGCTGAGATTACAGGCTTGACCCACTACTTTATTAGAAAGCAAAAAAAGAATGAGTGGAAAATGTCCTTTGAGGTCTGTGCCTTCTGGAAGCTAGGGAAGAGGTGTTCAGGTGGGTGGTCCCCTTCTAGCCCCCTCTGCCTGGGCAGCTGCAATCATTGCTACCTTCTCTCTTCTCTTCCTGCCAGCGTTCCTGCCTTTCATGGTGCCCGCGGTGAGCAAATGGACACTCGCCGTTAGGAGACTAGGGGCTTGGGAAGATGGCCACCTTCTTCCTAACCTGGGCTGTGTCCCTTCAGCCCCCGACCCCTGTCCCCAAGACTGCCTGATGGATGGTTGTGGACCCCACTGATAACCCATGGTTGCCATTCATATGTTCTTGTCCCCACTCCCTCCCCCTCCCTGCACCCGCAGAGAGTTAGGCATCCAGGCCTCTGGAAGGTCCACAGCTTCGCAAGGTCATCCCTTTTCTGGATACCCAAGTATTAGCAGAGCACCGTAGAAGAGGCCAGTGAGTCAGGATGCGTTCCCTACACAAACCCCTCTCCACCAAGTCCTCCCCCACACAGCCCCTCACCTGGGACCTGACATTGCCCCGTGAGGCTTTCCCACCTTGGCTCTTGGGAGGTGCTTTTCTGTTTTTCGTTTTGAGACAGGGTCTCACTCTGTCACCCAGGCTGGAGTGCAGTGGCACGATCTCAGCTCACTGCAATCTTCACCTCCTGCGTTCAAGCAATTTTCCTGTCTCAGTCTCCTGAGTAGCTGGGATTACAGGCGCCCTCCACCATGCCCAGCTAATATTTGTATTTTTAGTACAGATGGGGTTTCACCATGTTGGCCAGGCTGGTCTCTAACTCCTGACTTCAGATGATCTGCCCACCTTGGCCTCCCAAAGTGCTAGGATTATAGGCGTGAGCCACCATGCCTGGACTGGTGTTTTGTTTTTCAAAATAGGGTCTTGCTCTGTTGCCCAGGCTGGAGTGCAGTGATGCAATCATAGCTCACTGTAACTTCAAACTCCTAGGCTCAGGTGATCCCCCCCGACTTCAGCCTCCTGAGTAAATGGGATTACAGGTACTCATCACTATGCCAGGCTAATTTTTTTTATTTTTAGCAGAGACAGAGTCTTGCTATGTTTCTCAGGCTGGTCTCAAACTCCTGGCCTTAAGGAATCTTCCCAGTTTGGCCTACCAAAGTGTTGAGTTTATAGCCATGAGCCACCACTCCAGCCTAGGAGGTACTTTTCCACACCACAGGCTCCTCTCTGCTTCCCCTAGCAAATGTGGGGGTTTTTTTGTTTGTTTTTTTTGAGATGGAGTCTCACTTTGTTGCCCAGGCTGAAGTGCAGTGGCACCATCTTGGCTCATTGCAACCTCCGCCTCCTGGATTCAAGTGATTCTCCTGCCTCAGCCTCCCTAGTAGCTGGGATTACAGGTATGCACCACCACACCCGGCTAATTTCTGTATTTTTAGTAGAGACAGAGTTTCACCATGTTGGTCAGGCTGGTCAAGAATTCCTGGCCTCGTGATCCTCCCGATTTAGCCTCCCAAAGTGCTGGGATTACAGGCATGAGCCACCGTGCCCGGCCAACAGATGTGTGCATCTTAGCCACCCTGCTGGACTGAGGCCCTGGAGACACGGCCTGCTGTGTGCTCCTGGATGTCCTGGAGCTGCTAGTTTGGTGTTTGGCAGGTGCTCACTCAACCTTGTCAACTAACCTGCAGCCCGTGCACCCACCACCAGCCTCTCCTGCCCCAGGTCCTTGGGGGCTCCGTTCTCCCTCTGCCCTGGAAAGTTCTTTGCTACGGCATGTCCCACCCCCCGCCACTAAACACTTGTAACTGCTCCACTTTCTTCTTAAAAGGTATTTTTTTCAATGATGCCACCAAAAGGGATCGCGTCCATGATTTTACCTAAGGTAACAATTCTTCCTGTTTCACGATTGCTGAATTCTGTTACACTTGAAACCAAAATGCGATCCATTTGCCCCCTCTCGTCAGGTTTACCTCTATGCCTACCTGACGGCGTTCAGCATCATCAATGGAAACAGAAGTTACGTGAGTATTGTGAGACCCAGAGGGTGTGTGGTTTTGTGTTGTTTCTTTCGGAGTTGGTTGTATGTGTTTGTTTTTAAATGATCTTTGCTGGGCAAAACTGTGACATTTGCAGAATAAGTACTTTTGTTTCTCCTCAGACTTGTCATCCACTAGAAAGATCATTCCTAGGGGTGGCAGCCTTTGCTTCGTCAAGCTTCATTGGAGTAGGTATTTTTAGAATCTGACAAATCTTTATTCCTCAGAATCCAGAAAGCTTTATTTATTCCAATTTCAAATTTATGTTCCAATTTAAACAATTTTGAAAGTATGAATAGGAAATAAAAGTCACCTTTAATCCTATTATCCCAAAATAATCACATTAATAGTCTAAGATTCCAATCATATACTTGATGCTGTTATCTTTTTATTTTTTCTATTTTCTTTTTCTTTTTTTTTTTTTTTTTTTTTTTTGAGACAGAGTTTTGCTCTTATCACCCAGGCTGGAGTACAATGGCATGATCTCAGCTCACTGCATCCACTGCTTCCTGGGTTCAAGTGATTCTCCTGCCTCAGCCTTCTGAGTAGATGAGATTACAGGCATATACCACCACACCCAGCTAATTTTTTGTATTTTTAGTAGAGAAGGGGTTTCCCCATGTTGGTCAGGCTGGTCTCAAACTCTCGACCTCAGGTGATCTGCCTGTCTTAGCCTCCCAAAGTCCTCGGATTACAAGAGTGAGCCACCATGCCTGGCCAGTACTGTTATCTTTTTAAAAATTGGTTTATGCTGCACAAATATGTTATATAAGTTGTGTATTGCTTTGGATGTCAGGACATTGTAGTGGTGAAAGATGGAGATGTGGAGATGTTAGCATCAGACAAACCTAGGCCCTCATCCTGGCTCAAACCTTTAATGACTCTGTGACTCAACAACTTACATACCTCACTAAACCCTGTTGACTCCTTAGATGAACAGGGAGAGGACCTCCATGTTGCAGGAATTTGAAAAATACATGAAGAGGAGTCTGACTTGTCATAGGAACTAGGTCAGGGCAGACTCTCTGCTAGTGAGTAGGTTCCACTGAGTTTTCAGTCCTGTGCAGTAATTTTTCTCTTCTTTTCTAGTTAATACCTAACTTTATCCAGATGAGGTTTTCCTTGAATACCTTTTTTATGAAAAGAATTGTACCTGCAGCTGTCCATGGTAAGCAGGAAACGCTGGAGCCTGTAGTCTGGGTGGGGTGTCTTTGTGGTCTGTGAGCCTTCCTTCATCTCCAGAGACACCTGGGTCCCTTGGCACATTGTGACTGATGACAGGTGCCCTTTGCAGCCTGTCAGGCCCTAAGCCCAAATTAGGTCTTTGGTTTGAGAGGTGATACTTTCTGTAGATATGCCATTAATGGCCAAAGAATGAACATAAGACTGGAAACACAAATATTTTTTTTTTTTGAGATGGAGTCTTTCTTTTTTTTTGAGACGGAGTTTCGCTATTGTTACCCAGGCTGGAGTGCAATGGCGCGATCTCGGCTCACCGCAACCTCCGCCTCCTGGGTTCAGGCAATT